TTTTATTAGAACCCTAGAGTCTAACACATTTAAATTTTAAACTAAAATAAGATATAATAAAAATAACATAAAATACATTTTTACATCTTTTTAAGAAAATGTGTCAGATTCTAGGCTTCTAATCAAACAAAATTAAGTAAAACAAAAAATGACCAATTTTACTTTTTCTGAAGAAGATGTGTCAGATTCTAGGTTTCTAATAAAATGTAATTGTAACAATGTTCGTAGTTCGGGAAGAAGGAGGCGGGAACCGGCGAACACTCAAAGAAAACTTTAATAATAAAATAAACACAAAATAGCGCGACAGCCCCTCGCGGACGACTGCCGCGCACAAACGAAACCAAAACACAAAATAAACTCCAGGCCTGGTCCTCTCTCCCCCGACACGGTCGTCACTCCTCCTTTTATCCTTCCGGAGCTCCTCCGTGAGACTCGAGACCGGTGAGTGGCACAGGTGTCGCGCATTATCAATTACTCCACCGGCCTCGCTTCGTTCCCACGGCTCTCGGCCCCGCCCCCACTCGTCACAGTAATTAATAATTTTTAAAAAATCAAACAAAAAAAAATACCAATTTTATTTTATTCTATGTAATTTTTTAAGAAAATGTGTCGGTATTCTATTCTATTCTGTTCTGTTCTGTTCTGTATACATTATGCCTTACATGTGCTTGTTGTATGTTTGTTTTTATTCATTGCAGGATAATTTCACATGTCCAAACTGTATTTTATTCTATTCTATTCTATTCTATTCCAAGAGACATTATGCCTTGCGTGTGCTTGTTGTATGTTTGTTCTTATTTATTGCAGGATAATTTCACATGTCCAAACCGTATTGTATTCTATTTTATTCTATTCTATTCTATTCTATTCCAATAGACATTATGCCTTACATGTGCTTGTTGTATGCTTGTTCTTATTCATTGCAGGATAATTTTGCATGTCCAAACCGTATTCTATTCTATTCTATTCTATTATATTATATTATATTCCAAGAGACATTATGCCTTGCGTGTGCTTGTTGTATGTTTGTTCTTATTCATTGCAGGATAATTTCACATGTCCAAACCGTATTCTATTCTATTCTATTCTATTCCAAGAGACATTATGCCTTACATGTGCTTGTTATATGCTTGTTCTTATTCATTGCAGGATAATTTCGCATGTCCAAACCTTAGTGTATCCACACATGAACCAGTTGAAAATGACAGCGTTTGATTGGTGGGATGGATGTGTATCAGTCTGTGCAGATGCAGCTGTGCTCTCGTAGTTCGGCCTTTTGCTCTGTGTAACAATCAGCTGTCAATGAGGGATGACGGGATCCTGACGGCCATCCCAGCGATCCTGACCGATGCTACAGCCGTGTGTTTTCTGGGTGAGCCGCGTCAGCAGCGGCAGGGAGTCTCCGTTTGCGGCGAGCATGTGCAAAACTATAAACAGGATCAGGTTGTGCGCCGTCATGTTGCCAGATCACTGCAGACCGCTCTTGTACAGCACGCTTGTAAACCTGACTTTTGATTTTATAGTGCTTGAAGCATTGCTCAATACGACCTCATGAATCCGCTACGGCTCTCCATAAAGCTTTTCATGCTTGTATGTTCCGATTATTTCTTTTCTTTCCGTCGACTTTTGATCCCATGCCATTTGTATTCTTTCAAACGTGTGTATCGTATTGCGTTTGGCTGTGGGTTTTCGCTCTGTGTCCGTCACTGGCCAAACAGCTTTTGGTTTTAACAGACTGATGGTGGAGATTCATCCAGCCAAGTCAAATAAACACCCGTGAATGTGAAACCGGGACTTGGCAGAGGGGAGCCTCGTCGTTTCGTGAACGGGGAATTTTTATGTTCCATTTTCGCTTGACAGTGTAGACGTTTTATAACGTTGGGAGGAATTCTGTTGGCCTTGAGTTTCTGTCAAGACTCCCTTGTGCTCACAGTCGAGGCTTTTACTTCTAAAAGTGCCTTAAAACATGTGCTAAACTTGTGTGATGGGTGCGTTTGAGTCCTTATTCACTGGTTTTTGGATAATCCGTTTGTAAAACTCGAGAGCTCAGAGTGTCTCAGTACTTTAGAAAGTTGAGATTATGAACATTGACTGTAACTGGTTTGATTTAGTTCAGTGCTTTAATGAAACGAGATCCTAAATATGGCGTTTATGACTTGTTAGCTGCAGGAAAACCGTGTTAGGTTCTGCTTTTTGTGTTTTTCCAGTAATTGAGTGAAATTGCAGGAGTCGTATCAAATAAGAAACACCTGCTTTGTGGCGTTTTATTGGATTGCTTTTTTAGTGTTTTTGCTCCAAACATGAATGATTCCTCAAATCATGTGTGCTCTTAATTTACTAACTGATTAGACTTACAGTTTTCACCTGCCCTGCTGGATGATAAAACAGATGAACAAATCCCACATACATTCACAACTTTACCTTACCAAAGGTGTCATGTATGGGTTATTTTATGTTATTTTGTTATTTTATTTCACTGTTTTATTAGATTTTTTTTTTTTGTGGTTTTATTTTTTGTTGCTTTAGTTTTTTTCGTTATTTTTTTTATTTAACATTTCGTTTCATTATTTATGCATGAATCCCTCTTTAAATCACACACCTTGTTCTGTTATTTTTCTATGCGATCTGACTTCATTTGTCAAATGATTTCATAATTTTTGTTTATTTTATTTTATTTGTTTTATTAATAGAAGCCTGGAGTTTGACATAATTTCTTCAGAAGATAATAATAATTTAATTATTTTATTTAATTTGTTAAGGGGAGATACTCTTATTTTTCTGTGCAATTTTACTTCATTTGTCAAATGATTTCATAATTTTTTATTATTTTTTATTTTATTAATAGAAGCCTGGAGTTTTACACAATTTCTTGAGAAAATTTCATTGAGAATTTTTGAGACAAATTATCATATTTTATTTGTTGAGGAGCGTTATTCTGATATTTTTCTATGCCATTTGACCTCATTTGGCAAATTATTTTAGAGAGTCTGACACAATTTCTTCAAAAGACATTAAAGAAATATGTTAATTGTATTTGTCAAGAAGAGTTACTCTGTTATTTTTCTTTGTGATTTGACAAGTTTAAAAAAATTATTTTATTATTATTATTATTAATTTTAAGTCTGACAATTAATTCATAAGATATTAAAAATATATATGTATTTAATTTTATTTGTTGAGAAGAGTTATTCTGTTATTTTTCTATGTGATTTGACGTCATTTGGCAAATGATTTAATTAATTTCTGTATGTGTTCTCTTTGGTCACTCAAACACGTGGTGCTAATCCATGTCATCTGCGTAGCCTGTGAGATTTTCTCCATCTGAAGCCTTACCACAGTTTCAGGTTGGATGAAATATGTTTGTTAATGAAGCAGAATGTTTCTGTTGCCCGTGAAGCTCACAAACACAATGCTACACAGTCGTGAACTCTTGACCTCTCCTGCTCGCCAACAGCCTTTACATTTGCATTTTGACTTAAGGAGGAGGTCAGAGTCACGTCCCCCTCCCAAAGCCTCCCGATGACCGTCCAGCCGGCCTCTTTCTCACCGCAGCGGTCTGGGGTTAAAGCACCGGTGCGCGGCTTTGTCTCTGGATTAATGAAGTGTTTCCTTTGACTCCCAGACAATGAGGCCCATAGATAACCGGCCCATGCACCACAGCCTTACAGTCTCGGAGTTGCTCTTTTGCACATGTGTCAGAACTTGTGAGGAAATTACTCCGTCTACCTCTGACTCGCTAACTGAGAGTGACGTTAGATGAGAGACGAGAATGTCACGGATAATTAAAATGGAAGGAAGATCAAACCTGGCAGCAGGATCGTGTGCCGTTCAGAGCTGAACCCAGAGAAAGCCTTTTATATTCCACAGTTCAGTTCCTGAATTTATACTGAGAGAGAAAACAAAATTCAAACTGGAATTAGTATAAAAATAAAATGGAAAAAAAATTATGTGACAATAATAATTGAATTTAAATAATTCAACCTAATAATAATAATAATAATAATTATTATTATTATTAATAATAATATTTATACAATATAGTCTTATAATAATATAATGTTATAATATATAGTTTTCATATAACGATATTTAAAGAAATACCATTATTTATAATAAAACTGCTACAACTAATAATAATAATAATATTTGTTTCGTATTCTGTGTTATATAGTATTATAATAACAGTGTTATTAAATAAAATAAAGGTGTTAAAATAAGGGTATTCATATACATATCAAATGTTAATAATAATAATAATAATGTATGTGTTTATGTATAGTTTTATGTAAAGATATTTACATATCATTATTTATAAAAAATACTACTAATCAAAGTCATTATTCTAATCAAATACATTATTCTAGTATAATGTAGTATTACAATAATCGAGTACTGTATAGTTTTTTTATAGAATGATATTTATAAGTTTCAAATATGTATATACAAATTCAAATAAAATGACAAAAATATAATAGTTCCTTTATGAAATGGTTCGTTTCTAATATCATATGTATGATATCACTTAACATATTTAATAAATTCACTTTCATATCATTGGCTATGGTGGAAGAACACTTTATTTCTCTAGAGAATGATTTGAGTGTGTGTTTGTTTTTTTTTCTTTGTGTGCGTGCGCGTGTGTGTGTGTGTGTGTGTGTGTGTGTGTGTGTGAATGTGATGTAAAATCTAAGCACTCAGGCCCTCTAGTGTCAGAGCCAGAGAGCGCAGGGACGCTGAGATTTACAGCCACAGAGCATCAGCGCTGAGTGGGAAGTTCATGATATGAATTAGATGAAGTTTTATTATATCATCATAAAACTTGGCAAAGTCAACTGCAGCCTTGGCCGTTTTTTGTTTTGGCCTCAAAGACAATTTATCAGAAAGAGCGGGACCAATGAGGCCGGACCCCTCGTGTCAGAATCAGTATATTCAAAGCCTCAGGATGCGGTGCATCCTGGGATATCGAGCTGTTGGAGTAACCACTGCTTGTTTCGTTTCAGTGTTGAGTATCCGTGGCGCTCAGGAGGAGGAGCCTCCCGATGCCCAGCTGATGAGATTGGACAACATGCTGCTGGCGGAGGGCGTGTCAGGGCCGGAGAAAGGGGGCGGGTCTGCGGCGGCTGCAGCGGCGGCGGCATCGGCTGGAGTCGGACCCGATAACTCGGCCGAACACTCCGATTACAGAGCCAAACTCACCCAGATCCGCCAGATCTACCACACCGAGCTGGAGAAGTACGAACAGGTCAGAAAACACGAACAGTTCTTTTTCTGAAAATGTACCATTATGCTTGAATAACTATGCTATTAATCTGAATTAGTGAGGATTTCACAGACATCTCAAGCATCCTAAAACTTTGACATACTCAAAACCAGGCAGTTTTTTGACTGATGGAAGTCATTTTGATTTTATTTGGAATAACATGCACTGATGAATCACCAGCAATGTGTGCTGAAGTAAACGCTTCAATTTTGATTTCATGTTGACTGTAATATCTCATCATTTAGATTCGTGCAACATCTGTTTGACTGCAGTTGTTATACTTTAATGTAGTGTGTGATTGTGTGTGTGTGCGTGCGTGTGTGTGTGTGTGTGTGAGATTGTGTGTGTTCGTGTGTGTGTGTGCGTGTGTGCGTGCGTGTGTGTGTGTGTGTGTGTGTGTGGCTCAGCAGGCAGCCTTTCCATCCCAAAGTCTGTCAGATCAGATGATGATGTGAAGAGTGTGTTTGAGATGCTCTGTGTGTTTCAGTGGGGCTCTGCTGGCAGAGAGCAGCTCATTCAACCTCAGATGTGATTTCACAGACACCCTCCTGTTTTAGTGTTTGAGACACATCAGAGGCCGGTCCGGTGTTACTGCTGACAGCCCAGCGTTCCCACGCTCACGGAAAACCGGGAAGTAGCAGACAACGTTCAAATTGTGATCCAGATTAATAAATAGAGTTGGGAATTTAAAGGAATTTAAAGATTCTGCTTCTGATTCCTCCAATTCCTTTAGTAGTTTTAAGTATGCACACATTTGTCGCCGCCAATAGCCTTGTTTGCAGTGCGCCGATATATAGTCCCAGCTCGCGGACCTTTCCCGATCCCGCCCCCCTCTCTCTCCTGCTTCGCTGCCTGTCTACCAACTTTCCAATAAATCTAATAAACGCCAAAAATAAATCTTAAAAAAAAATGTATGCACACATTTAAAGCAGATTAAAAAATTTGACATTCTTGGAAAATACAGTAAACCAATAGCATAAAACTAAACTATTTTTTAAATGATTTGAAAAAATCCTTCAGGAACATCAGAAGGAGTGTTTGAATGTGGTATGTATGTAAATGATTGTTGCTGAGATCAGGCTGCTGTAGCGTCTTAAATACTCAGGACTTGACTGGTTAAAGCCATCAGCATCCTGATGAGCATCATTCATGTTTAAGTACGAGTATCAGTGGCCACTGTATGGCTCTCTGTGCGCTCGGACAGTAGATCCATCGCTGATGATAAACGGGGGGGACATAGGAGAGGTGATGTACTGAAATGCATTCTGGGACAGGGCCAGGTGTCCTCTGTTTGTTTTGTTCACAAAAGAACATTCATAGCTGTCATAGAGGACCGCAAACACACACACACACACACGGACCACCCAGCACAAGAGCGAAAACGCCCTTCATCATCCGCTCTGTAACTGTTGTTGTGGTCTTCCCATGAGTCCTGGTTCTCCTGACACGCTCTGCTCTCTTACTCATCTGTTTGTGTCGCTCTGTGAGTAATGAGAATCTCACGCCAATGAGGCCATTTCAGAATTAAGGCACAATATTGAAAGTGTAACGACTCCGTCACCCTAATTTTTATGCGTGATTAATGAACTCTATGGAGGAATGAGGGCTCGAGAGATGGATGAGTTTTTATAGATATCACTGCATTACAATACATAGACAGGGTCCACACTGCTGTACTCTCACTTAGGATTCATATGCAGATATGGCTGCATAAATAATTTTAGCTTTTTTTTTTATTAAGTGTGATATTTTAATATTATGATTGCTGGTAGTGTTCACAATGAAGCTCCAGTGTATAATTTTAAGTAGCATGGAAACATTTGGTGTACACTAGTTTGGGGTCAGTATGATTTTTTTAATGTTTTTGAAAGAAGTCACTTTTGCTCACCAAGGCTGCATTTGTTTGATCAGAAATACAGAAAAAAACATTAAAATTGTGAAATATTATTACAATTTAAAATAACTGTTTTCTGTTTGAATATATTGTAAAATATAATTTATTATTGTAATGCAAAGATGAATTTTCAGCATCATTACTCCAGTCTTCAGTGTCACATAATTCTCCAGAAATGATTCTAATATGCTGATTTGCTGCTCAAGAAACATTTCTGATTATTAACAATGTTGTAAACAGTTGTGCTGCTGAATATTTTTGTGAAAACGGTGATACATTTTATTTTTCAGGAGTCTTTGATGACAAGAAAGAGCAACAAAAGAGCAACATTTATTTGAAATAGAAATATTTTGTAACATTATAAATGTCTTTACTGTCACTTTTGATCAATTTAAGTCACCTTGCTGAATAAATCTTACTCTGACTTTTTGAATCGTGATGTACAATAGAAAAGATGGGTAACTGTCTTTGAACTCTTTAAAATAATACGTTTTAATTTTATAAATAATTACACTTAAGCTAGTCTAAGATTCAGTTTTTAAAACTTTGTTCTGCTTTGACCATTAGAATTAAACAGGCTGTTGTTGCTTCTGTATCTAAATAAACTCTGTTATGATTGGCTAGTGTCAAAAAGTTGCTTAATACTGAATTGTTGATATGTAAATATGGGCGGTCATATGTTAATATGTCATAAGCTTCATGGTTACTAAAGGAATCAGTTTTGTAGCTAAGAGTCCTGACTGAACCCAGTTTTCCATGATATGAGCCCTTGAACCTGTTTCTGTAAGCCGTATCTTGTTATGGTAACATGCAGGTGTTTGTGTTTCCCTCTCTCAGGCATGTAACGAGTTCACGACCCATGTGATGAACCTGCTGAGAGAGCAGTCTCGCACACGGCCCATCTCGCCCAAAGAGATCGAGCGCATGGTCGGCATCATCCACCGCAAGTTCAGCTCCATCCAGATGCAGCTCAAGCAGAGCACCTGCGAGGCCGTCATGATCCTGCGCTCCCGCTTCCTCGACGCCAGGTCCGTGCATTTGAGCGCAAATCCACTCGTAATCAAACCCCGCGCTCTCATTCTTCACGCTCTGCACTAAGCCTGTAACTCTCACGTTCATGTAAACAAATGCTCCTGCGCTTTATTTGCACACGTGCGTTTTCCCGTTTCCCTCCCCGAGGGAGTGGAGGCCCCGTTCTTGCGCTTTAGGGCCGCATCCAAACCCACACATGCTTTGCAGTGTCGAGTGCATCCCTTTCTCAATGTAATCGCTTGTTCTCTTTGAAACGTGCCTGGGATTTGCATGCATTTCTGTGCGGATAAATCATGCTGGAATCCTGGAGTCGGAGGCATAACATTTAAATGAGCTTCATGTTTCCTCGCAGCGCTCAGAATCCATTCTCCTTCTCTTTGGAGCATGCTCAGTTCCTCTGATTAATCCTCTCTCCGGCTGAGACCATGCTGTGCTCATTTGCATTTAGTGAAGAGGGGTTTTGGGGAGGAAATCGGCTCACCCTCTGTTCCGGCCCTTCAGTGCTGCATATGTAAAAGCCCCTGAGATGAGCTCCAATCGCACACTCTTAACCCACAGATGAGTGATGCCAAGAGGAGGTTGAATTCATTGGCACCCAAAGCTCAATTTACGGTCGTTTTAAAGCTCTTCTCTTTGACTGTGTGTGGGGTCTGCTTTATTCTTCTTTTCAAGCATGAAGCGTCTGCCTGCTGAATTTGTCTTTGCACGTTTACACGAAGTAGGCTGAAAAATATGGCCTTAATCTATGAAAATAGTGTAAGGAGGCCAAACTAATTATTACATGAGCTGCTTTATTTTGCATGTATTTTATGTTTCATGTTACCAATTTAGATTGGGATTAATATGTAGTTGTTTTTTCCATTAAACGTCAAAATAAAGAATGTAATAATTCAATAATATAATGCAATAAAATAAAATAATAAAGCAAAATATAATGCAATAAAATAAAATGGGGGTTGAAATAAAATTATATTATAAAATGAATTGAAATAAAATAAATTAAAATAAACAGGTAACAGGGTTGCATTTACAGTTTAAATTAATCTATCACTCACTATAAAGTAAAATTTAAATATTTGAAATAAAATATCTATATAAAATGAAATGGATAACAGGGTTGCATATTCAAACTATTGGTCAGTATAAAGTCAAATTAAAGTAGAAGTAAATAAAATTTTATGTAAAATAAAATGAATTTGAAATGAAATGAAATCAAATAGAATAAATTAAAATAAGGTAACAGGGTTACATATTCAGTTTAAATCCAACTATCACTCAGCAGAGTGCTAGTTAGTTGATTTATCATTATTGATCAAATTATTGTTGATTTCCAATAAATTAAAGAATATATATTTGTTTGATCATTTTCTTACAGTAACTTTAGTAACAGGGTTGAATAGTAGCTTTTTAGATACTTTTCATAGTAACTTTTTCCTACTTTTGAAGCTAGGTTTTATGATTTATCCAACTTTTTCGATTTTGCTAGTTTATCTAACGTTGAAAAATTCTCAGTGCAATTAAATAAAGTAAATAGGTAACAGGGTTGCATATTCAGTTTAAATAATTCTATTACTCAGTAGAGGGTTGGTGTTGATATATCATTATTGATCAAATTATTGTTTATTTCCCATAGATTAGATTTAGATTAGATTAGAACAATAGATTTCCCAGAATATATATTTGTTTGATCATTTTCTTACAGTAACTTTAGTAACAGAGTTGAATAGTAGCTATTTAGATACTTTTCATAGTAGCTTTTACCTACTTTTGAAGCTAGGTTTTATGATTTATCCAACTTTTTAAATTTTACTAGTTTATCTAACGTTGAAAAATTCTCAGTGCAATTAAATAAAGTAAATAGGTAACAGGGTTGCATATTCAGTTTAAATGATTCTATTACTCAGTAGAGGGTTAATGTTGATATATCATTATTGATCAAATTATTGATTATTTCCCATAAATTAAAGAACAAATATTTGTTTGATCATTTTTTTTACAGTAACTTTGGTAACAGGGTTGAATAGTTTAGGTACTTTTCATGGTTGCTTTGACCTGCTTTTCATGCTTTCATGCTTTTTTGTGTGGTTTGTGTCTCTAATTCTCTTAAAGTCATGAGTCACCCAAGTGTACACGGCCAGCGGCAGTTACTTTCTCTGTATTTACCAAAATGTTTGATATGATGCATGAAGTATATGCAACAAAACTAAACAGCACAAGTTCTGGCAAGATGTCCAAATCTGATGTGTTTGTGTCTGCACAGGAGGAAAAGACGAAACTTCAACAAACAGGCCACAGAGATCCTGAATGAATATTTCTACTCCCATCTCAGTAACCCGTATCCCAGCGAGGAGGCCAAAGAAGAGCTGGGCAAGAAGTGTTCGATCACCGTCTCGCAGGTACGACACTGTCCAAATATTGCACCCACTATTGCTCTGTCATAGTTCAATGATAGTAATACCGTGGTTCTCTTAATATTCAGTAGCATGTTTACCATATATATATGCCATGCAATTACAAAAAATACCATAGTTACAATTGCATGTTTTCCAAAAGTGCCGTCCAGGTTGGCAACTCGCTAGATATTGAGACGCATCCGATGTTTGTTTCTACCTGTTTTGCATGTAAAACATATCAGTTATTCTCACGTGAGTTCAAGCTCATGCAACTCGAAAACAAAATCATTTGCAGCATGGCACCGCATGCCTCTTAGCATTTTTCATCTGCTGCGCTAAATGCATAATGCATTCTAAACTATTTAATAAATTTAGCTGAAATGATTGTATGATGCATTTAGGCCTGGTTTTGAGTCTGACTCGCGGGATGAGTGATGACTGCCGCGCTGTTTGTAATATAGAAACACCTTTAGCCTCTCGTGGGAACGGGAAGCTTAGCCGCAGGATTGATTAGCTTTTCATGGTAATGGTGTTTATCATTAGCGCAGAGCCTCATCCGCTGCTGTATTAGCCGTAATGGGCGTTAGTGTGTGTTGAGTGATTGCTGTCAGTGTATACTGTGATCATAGCTGCCAGCGTGTAAGTGATCATTTATTTCAATGTTAATGTTAGTGTGTGTGTGTGTGTGTGTCCATCATGGTTAGACCTCTGTCCTTGTGACCATCACAAGTCCTGTTGATAGCATCCTTCACTGTTGTGACATCTACCAGCCACTGTTGCATTTTGTTTCAACTGGTCATATGCTCTGTGGGCAAAATATGCTATTTGAAAATCAAAAATTAATTAAATTTTTTCAGTCCACATGTTTGTGGTTTGTGAATGCACGGAGTATTTTATTATTGCACAAAGAAGATTTGCTATTATCTTGGCGTGTAATCGTTTTTGGCATGTAATTTGCAGCAAACGAATTGCAAGTATTGAGTTTTTACACTTTTGGAATCTTTTAGCAATAGTTCAAACTTTTTTTAACTTAGGATGCACATTAAATGTGTAACTGGTGCTTTTTCTGTGTATTTCATTGTTCTACACTGAAAAAAAAAGTTTCACTCAAAAATTGCTAGTATATTTCACAAATAATTATAAAGAAACAGCAATTAACACGTTGAATTAAATGTGACGTTTTCATGTAGATATACTGAAATAGTATTTTCTGTACTCCAATAATCTGTTTTATTTACAACTGAGAAAAATATTTTTTCAGTTCATGTGCTGATTTTGTTTTTATTTATTTTATTTTTTTTTTTAATGAAAAATATTTGTTGAAGCACAGAGAATACTATTTCAGTCTTTCTACTGGAAATTTTCACATGGAAATTTTTGTTTTAATTTTTTGTCAAAAAATAGCTGAACTTTTAACACTTAGATTAAATAATGAATCAAGAAGGAGAAAAGGTTAAATAATTAAAAATAGTAGATGCATTGTGAGTGCATTGAACTATGATATTCAATGCATTGTATGAACAATATATACTACTGTTCAAAGCTTGGGGTCAGCATGATGTTTTTAAAAGAAATTAATAAATAGATCTAATGAACTGATCTAAAGTGACAGTAAAGACATTTCTAATGTTGCAAAAGATTTATATTTTTTAAAAAATGCTGTTTTGAACTTTCTATTCATCAAAGAATCCTGAAAAATAAAATGTATCACGGTTTCCAGAAAAATATTCTGCAGCAGAACTTTTTTCAACATTGATAATAATCAGAAATGTTTCTTGAGCTGCATATTATAATGATTTCTGAAGGAACATGTGACACTGAAGACTGGAGGAATGATGCTGAAAATTCAGCTTTGATCATAGCAATAAATTATATTTTAACGCATATTCGCACACAAAAAACAGTTATAAGCATGTCAACATATTCTGTTACACCAAATACACAAAATAATGATCTTTAAAATAGCATCATATGACCCCTTTAAAACACACCGCTTAGTGCTCCGATGAAGCCATGAGAACATATGACCATAGACTTGAATATGAAAACATGACTGTGAGGGAGAGACAATGGACATCAATCCTTCAGCTGACGAAATATTATACATACTACAGTTCAAAAGTTTGGGGTCGGTAAGATTTGTAATACTTTTGAAAGAAGTCTCTTGCTGCCCAATATTTTTGTGGACACCATTGAATTTTTTTCCCCAGGATTCCTTAATGAATAGAAAGTTCAAAAGAACAGCTTTTTTTTTTTTTAAATAGACATATTTGGTAATATTATAAATGTGTTTCCTGTTGTTTTTGATCAATTTATTGATCTTTGTCTTCTTTATGGGCTGCTGGATCTTATGCTCTGAAAAGCTTATCTAATTATAACTCTGCATTTCTGCTCTCTTGAATTCTTCAAACTCATTTCTCTGGCTTGTTCTGTCTCTCTCTGTTGTGTCTGTGCACCTCTCAGGTTCTGCTGGCTCTTTTAACATGTCAAACTCTGGCGATTTGTTTATGAGTGTTCAGTCTCTGAACGGGGACTCGTACCAGGGCTCTCAGGTGGGAGCCAATGTGCAGTCACAGGTATAGTGTCTATAAATCACTACAGAAACCTCACAGCACCAGCACACACACTGCAGCTCATGGTGTTGCAACATGATGAACATTTCTAGTCCGTTCATCAAAGAATTCTGAAAAATAAAATGTATCGCAGTTTCCACAAAACTATTCGGCAGCACAACTGTTTTCAGCATTGATAATAATCAGAAATGTTTCTTGAGCAGCAAATCGGCATATAAAACAGTTATTTTCTATTGTAATAATATTTCACAATTTTGCAATTTTTACTTTATTTTTGAGCAAATAAATTCAACAAAAGTTGGTGACCAAATCTTACTGGCCGCAAACTCTTGAACAGTACGGTATGTATATTTTTAATCGACATTTCTCTTGTTTTGTCTTCACACTCACCCAGCTATTGGGTTGTTTTGACCCAGCGGTTGGGAACCCAACCGCTGGGTCAAAACTATGTTAGGGGTGTGCGACATGTCTGCGATAATAACGTAATTGTTGTTTTAAAGGGTTAATTTGCAGCTGGCAAGATGGTATTTTGATAAAATTTGG